AAAAATATAATTTTAAAAAATGTAATAAATACCATTTATAGTGTAAATACTTCTGTAAATTACATGTTTACTGATTATCATTTCCTCCATCAAAAGATGCTACAGCTTAAACTGTATTCTCAAATAATTTCTTGCCTGAAATTCTAACCCGATACCTCAGAATTAAATCTTACTTGCAAAGAGTCACTGCAGATGGAATAAGTCAATGAAGCACATCAGAGAAGAGTGACCCCGTAGCCCACTACGACTGCTGTTCTTATCAAAGGAAAAAATCTGGACACAAAGATGCCCAAGGAGATAATGGCAGAGATGAGGGTGCTGCTTCTGTAAGCCCAGCAACTCCAAGGATCACAAACCAAAAAACATGGGATGGATTCTTACAGGCCTCAGACGGAATCAGCCATGGAGATAACTTCACCTTTGGGCCATCAGCCTCCAGCACCATGATGTAACAAGTGTTTCATGGTTAAGCCTGCCAGTTGTGGTATGACAAATCCAACTGACTGAAAATGTATCAGACACACATACACACACACACTCATCACATGTTGGCTACACTTTTTCTTATTAATATGACTTTAGTGGATAATAGTTACAATGTCACTTTTTTCTCTACCCTTACCAGACCCTCATTACTGAAATTGGGAGAGGCCCTACAATGAAGCTTTCTCCAATGAAATATGAGTGGATATGATACATACCACACCCAAGACTGGTCTACACAACATGGTATACCTCTCTTTTTTAAGATTTATTTTTTTTTATTATTTTTTCATTGGAAAGGCGGATATACAGAGAGGAGAGACAGATCTTCCGTCCGATGATTCACTCCCCAAGTGAGCGCAACGGGCCGATACTATGCCGATCCAAAGCCAGGAGCCTCTTCTGGGTCTCCCACGCGGGTGCAGGTTCCCGAAGCTTTGGGCCATCCTCGACTGCTTTCCCGGGCCACAGGCAGGGAGCTGGAAGGGAAGCGGGGCTGCCAGGACAGAACCGGCGCCCCTATGGGATCCCGGGCGTGCAAGGCGAGGACCTTAACCACTTGCGCCACCACGCCGGGCCCATGGTATACCTCTCTTTAAGATTTCATCAGCTCAGCTTTGGTTCATCTACTCCATGGAATACTACTCAGCTATTAAAAAAAACAAAATGCAGTTCTTTGTGTCTAAATGGGCACAACTGGAAACTATAATGCTAAGGGAAATGAGCGAATCCCAAAAGATTAGATACCACATGTTTGCCTTGATTTAACCTGTAATTTTTTGTTTGGTTGTTTGTTATTTTTTTGAACCTGTCATTGATACTGTCTCAACCCAGATGTTTTGAAGAATGGAACTTGCATTATTTTTAACATATTGTTTACCCAATACTATGTCAATTAATTCCATAATGTTGTATATTGATACTGAGACCTTGTTGGGGCTTTTAACTGACCGGATCTTTACTCTGTTAGACCTATCTTCAGACCATAGAAGGTCTCCCCAAGAGGCCACTGAACTTATCTGGACAATAAGATGCTGAACTTTATGCTAGGCATGTGTTTGCAAGCAATGAATCTCAACTGAACTTGAACTATGGTTATGCAACAAGGTGGAGGAATCCACCATGGGGGGAGGGGTATGGGAGGGGTGGGGGGAATCCCCAGCGCCTATAAAACTGTACTACATAATACAATGTAAGCAACAATAAATTAAAAAAAAAAAAAAAAGATTTCATCAGCTCACAAACGGAGTTGGCAATGACTTCGTGAAGACGAAGCCCATACCATAAGGAACAGCCAAGGTAGGTGTTAGAATCTAGGTATCTGACAGCCTAGAACAAAGTTACTCACAAGATAGAATATACTCATTGAAAGGAGAAATGAGTAAAACAAAGACAGTTCTTTAACCTATAATATTGCCAGTTCGCTTTCTCTTATATGAAAGCTTCCATGGCTCATTTCCTTAATACAGTGACAGGTAAACAAAACATTTCAAATTCATGTAGTGAATCTGTATGTAGAAAACTGGGTAAGATCTGTGGACTAAACAGTAACTCTGACCATATAAAGGATGTGCTAGCATACAGTTAACTAAGCATCTAGTGTGATACTTTCAAATCTGAGACATCATAGTTGACATTCTTAATATCTGTTAAACTGTAGATTAAATTGGAAAAATTAAAGTTCTGATTGTGGAAGGTTTTTTTTTTTCTTCGTTCAAAGGCTTTGATGAAAATGATCACTAATTACAGTTAGTATAATTTAATTAGTAAACTCACACTGTGACTTCACATGTATTTGCAAGGTATAAAGAAAGGTAACATACAAGGATACCTTCCGAAGTTCACAGAAATAGAATTAAAAGTTACATTTTGGTTCAAAAGAAAACTTGAAAATCAAAAAGTCTATTCATAATGTACCTTTCCCATGAATTGAACTGTTCTCATAAAACGCTCACGTATCTCTCGCCATCATTCCTTATGTCTTTCTTTCTCTCTCCACCCTCTGAAATATTTTTTTTCCACAAGCTTACAATCCTTTTCCAATCCTCAGCTCATGAAAAACCACTACGAGCTGCATTAAGTTATCCTCCCAGATTTAGCAAATGTTACTAAGTAATCAAAAGTGTCGAGTTTTCAACTCTGGGATACACTAAAACCAAAAATCATTCCAACAGTAGGTATACAGATCCCTCACACTTGTTTTACTTTGGGAGGAAAAAAAGTATTGTTTTGAAGATGCTAGTAGGCAGCCATGTGTCCCACTGCTCATCTTAAACATTTCCCAATGTGTAATGTGACCAGGCAGAAGCTTACATAGAGAGCTACTCAGTACTCAACCATTATCCTCCACTCCTATGTGATCAAAACACCAAAAATTACTATCCTGGAGTTTGGGATTTTTACCTCTTGTTAAGCTACAAGTCTTTCCTAAATGCTACAGACACCACCAATAAGGCAGTTTCTACTGAGTCCAAGAAGAAAAGGAGGAAATGAACACTATACAGGTAGCTTTCAGAGCCCTCGACCAGCGACCAAGAATGCAATGTAGACTCCAACTCATCGTCTGTCGGATGCACATGTGCTTCAAGATCTGCACATGTGTTATCACTTAAATTGCTGGAATGTATACAGGATTCCATAAAGAGATACATATTAGCAAATCTCATAAGAATAGAAGTCCTTTATTAGCACGCAACTGTATTTTTATTCTGCTTTTAAACTGTCTGAATCATACAAAGCTGACCAGTCTGATTTTTTACTGTGTGAGTCTACATAAAAACAAAAAACCAAAGAAGCCTTCCATAGGCAGCATGTACTTATATCACATAGCTCTCCCCAACCCCCAAGGAAAAGCTACAGTTTCTGTTTATCTTCTCTTTTCTCACCCATGCTGGAAAACCTGCCAGATAAAGGCAGAGCACTCTTAATGTACTAAGCAAGAGCCGGATATAAGACAACGCCAAGTCAAAGCTTCAGCCACGGCACATCAACCTCAGTTAAAGCAGAGTAGAAAACTGGTGGTCCAGTTCACTCTGTTTGGCAGGCACCATTTTTGTATGTTTTCTTAATTAAAATCCACTTAGGAAAAAATCACCCCCCGGACAATAAAGTCACTTCATCGTATACTAATGTATCTCATTCCTCACTCAATCTTCCTATCTATAAGCCAACCAAATGTTTGAGGTGATAATTCCTATCTGAACCCTCTTTACCCAGAATGCAACTCTAACCTAGTCCAGACAAACTCTTCATATAGCTGACACTTAACTCTCCTAAAAAAATCTCAAGATGTACATTCTAATCAGGGGCTTAATCCTCTCCTGGTACCTACTTTTGCAAACATATCACCAGACATTCACATTTCCTATGGGGCATGGACTAAACCTGGCTCCTTCTGGTCTCTGCAATGCATAAGCCTAGAGCAGGTTGTGATTAAATATTTCAAATTAACAAAACAACAATCTAACTGTCAGCCCCAAAACACTTGTTTCTCATATTCTTGGAAGGAAATGTAGATTAATAAAATTGACAGAAGAGCAGATCAAGAGTATGAAGACATAAGACAAAGAGGAAGGCAAGAGTATGAAGAGGCTTGGAAAGGTCATCTTTGGCTCCACACAGGTATGTCCAAATGCTTAACGGTATGTCCAATCCATTCTCCCTCCACAGCAACTGCTGGATCCCAACATCAGGATACAAATACAATAAACCCAACTGAACAAAAGAAAATGAACTCATATCAGTCTCTCTGGAAGGATGGATATCTTCCCTTGTTAGAAATACTTATGAGAAATGAATCTGACCAAACTTCATCCAGTTTATATTCTCACCCCTCAATCAGCTCCAGCTGCTGACTCCCTTTACTATGGGTCACTGGCCTCAGTAGGTTAGAACTTTCAGACAACAAGGGGGGAAAGAGCATGGTTGTCATTTATGAGCAAGTATATCTAAGGGGATTTTCCTGTCCATAGTCATGCTTACAGAAAATGAAGGCCTTTCCCCTTTACCTCCAGGTCAGGCAAATGTTAGAAGTAGGGAAAAAAATGATTAACAGTAAGAGAAGAGTCAGTGGCCAATCATTGCCTCCTTTTCTTTAAACAGGAGCTTCTTTCGATTTGTACCCATAACAGGCTTCCTTACAATGCATCAGTACTGTAGGTAGGGCCCTGAGCAGGCACATTGAGTATTTCCGACAAACAGAGCAAAACCTATTCTGCTTCACATGAAAGTGCAGTCCTCAGAAGCTTCTAGTGTAGCTGCTGAGTCAGCCATATCACTTGCTTATCTCAAGCCAAGAGTAAAAACCAACTTACCTGGGCCCGGCAGTATGGCCTAGCGGCTAAAGTCCTTGCCTTGCAACTGCCAGGATCCATATGGGCGCAGGTTCTAATCCTGGCAGCCCTGCTTCCCGTCCAGCTCCCTGCTCACTGTATGGAAGATCTTCCTCTCTTACTCTCCTCCTCTCTGTATATCAGACTTTGCAATAAAAATAAATCTTTAAAAAAAAAAAAACTTACCTTCTGAAAAAAGTCTTCCCCACTTCTGCCCTTTCCTTCAGCAGCAGCTGTAAATAAAAACGTAAACATTTAAAACAGTCTGATTTTTCAATATGTCTTCAAAAAACTCTTTAGTACCAGGCACCAGAATACCAAGGTGCAGAGCCACCCTCCCAGCTCTCTCACAGTGGTGAGCCTGCCACTGCATCACTACAGGGAAGCAAGGCCGTTCCGGAAGGAAACACCACCCCGCTCAACTACATAGCTTTAGATTATATTATACCCCTTGGAAAAGCTCACAGATCTCCGAATACTGAGACAAACATCTCACCTTCCAGTCTTCAGGAATTGTGTGAACACATCTAACCACCCAAGTAAACCACAGTAGGGCCCCAAATGCTTCCTTTGTGTCTGTAATCAATGCAAGGCACAAGGCTGCCTGTTTACCATCAGCTCATCTAACCCAGTCTTCTTCTGTGTTGCTTTAGTTTTGCTCTTTATGATGACTATAAAACCTACTTGGATTTCAGGAGGTATCATACACTGCCTGAACTCATTCCTTATTCACATGTGCAGAGAAAGAAAACAACCTAAGAATTAAACATATCAATGAAGATCACAGCCAACAAAGTCCATATGAAATTAATTGCAAGTTAATGAAGCACAGCATTATTTATTTATATCTAAATGATTGTTACAATCTCATCTCTGTCTAGATTCAAAACTCTTGTGATTATGAACATTTATGATTCGTTTGTGGCAAGGGGTGGATAATTTGACTAAAAGGAGAAAGAGCAAAGAGACAATAGTATATTGCTTGCAGTGACTTCAAATCGCATCTTCCAGGAGGAAAAGACCACATGAAATTCTGATTCAGGTTTAGGGTGGAACAGATGTTAACTAGAGGCACCCTCCCAGCCAGGACAGAAGAAACTGCCTCAACAGTCTCCAACACCATGGGAACCAAACGCCTGTTAGGCAATGCTGCAGCAGGGGTGAGAAGTCTGGAATATACAGTGTGTGGAGTGAGGGTGTGCTTCCACTGCTGAAATGTTTAAATACCCAACAAGTGGGATGCATCAATCACTGAACAATTAGAGCAGATACCTGGCACAGGGGTTACTACTTGAAGACCTCTGCATCTCACATCAGAGAGCCTGTGCTGGGAATTTCAGCTTCCTGCTAATGTACATCCCGAGTGACGGTGGGTGATGAGTCCGCACTTGTTTCCCTACCAGCCACAGGGGAAGCAGCACATGCTCGTGTGTTCTCTCTGTCCTGTGTGATAGTCTCCTGGCTAAATTCTCGCCTTACATGTGTTGGGATCCGGTATGGATGCCAGTTCACGTTCCGGCTGCTCCATTTCCCATCCATTTCTCATTTAGCAAATTTTGAAAAATGCCTACTGTCACTTTAGCATTCAGTTACACAGAAGATTAAAGACACAAAGAACCTCTGTCCTCAAAGTAGTAATGAGTATTTAAATGTAAATAATCTTCCACCAACTTAAAGCTCATTGTTAAGCATAACTCATCTTCTACCATGCTACAGAAATGCTTAACTTTTTAAATCAAAAAGATCGTCATCTAAAGAGCACAAAATATATTTCTGGGTGACCTTAAAGATACCTTGAGAAACATGAAAATGAGAGTTAAAAACAATAAAGAACTGTATTCTAATGTACATTACAGAAGAATGACCCACCTCTCCCTCAAGACAAAACGCATTCATGTCCTGGTAACAACATAAGACAAAAGGGATTTGAGAGGAATAATTAAAGAGCTGGTAATAGGAGGGCTTTCTTGAGTTATCCATAGGCCCAATGTAATCACATCTTTGTAAGAAGGAAGCAGTAAGGTCAGGCAGGTGGAGTGAGTGACAAGGGATGGAGAAGGAGAAGAGAGGATATGACAACCAAAGCAAACAGCACAGATGAGATTTGAAGACACTTTACTATTAGCTTTGAATAGGAAGCAAACAAGCTAGTCAAGGAACAGGGGTGTCTGCACAAACTCCAAGAGTCCAAGAAATGGATAAGCCTCTGCAGCCTGGGTGGGTGGGGATGGGGCTGGAGGTGGGACAATGTTGTGGAGATCGCCCTACTGATACCCGGATTCCAGCCTAGGGGAACTCTTCTCAGGCCTCCAGCAATCCTTTACAGCGGCAAAAGCAAAACAGTCCCTAACGTAAACATCATTCTCACTTCACTTTCTGCACAAATTCTACAACAGCCACATGAATTGAGCATAACAATGTGGGCCATTTGACCCATGCCTTTACAGAAAGATTTTTTGTTTACAAAAGGAAATTTTCATTAGCTTGGCAATACATCAGTTTTAAAGCTTTCTAAAAATAGAAATGCTGATATAAATTGGCAGATACGGCAAGATAACAAGTCAGTGTCCAGATATAATGTCACAAATCAAACAACTTGGTGATGTCTCAACTAAGCCAGCTCTCAGGCTCTTTGTCTAGGGCTAACAGTATTTACAACGGGCTTTCCTCAATGACACAAAAAGTCATTTAGCAATAAAAGTAGCAGAAAATGACATGGAAATGTGAACGCATTATAGTGATATAATTTCCCTAGAAAGTAAATGCTCAAAAGCAGATATTATCAAAGATTCATCAAGCAAAGCAGATAATCATTACTTTTCCCAGAGGCAAGTCCTTCACAGCTTGAAATTAATCAGAAGAAATGCCCCTTTGACTCAAGTCCAAACAGACTATAAACAGAATGTTTAGAACACCCCTTCAATCCCTACATGAATAAAGGAGAAACTTCCTCAGTTGAACCAAACTCTGTATTTACTGTACTACACACACACACACACACACACACACACACACACACACAAACTACACCTACAGCAAACTTTTAAGAAACAGAAGATAGGAAGCCAGAAATGGCATATTTACTGACAACAAAAATATATGGCCTTATTCAAAGTGTTTACATACATTCGTCATCCCATACCCAAGGAGAATATGTACTATTGATATGCTGGACAAAATGATGATTCATTTCCTAGGGATTTTACCTTTCTACTCAAAACAGCATTTGGGGATAAATTTGGCACAGTGGTTAGGATGCTATTTTGAATATAGAAGGGTATGAGTTCCAGTCCCAGCTCTACTTCTAATTCTAGCTTCTTGTTGATGTGCAGTTTGGCAGGTGATGATGGCCCAGGCACCGGAATCCCTGGACCCACATGGGAAACTCTGCAGTGGGCACCTGGCAAGTAAATTAACAAACAGAAAATCTCTAGATCTCTGCCTTTCAAATATTCTTTAATATTGCAAAAAATACTATGTGACTTCTTAAATTTTATTGCTCAAATTTTCCATGTAGTATATTCTGACCACAACTGAATGCAGATAAATAAAACCATGGTAAGTGAACCAAAGAACAAACAGGAACAAGCTGCAACTCGGAGTCCACTTCTCCCTGACTATGGTGTGTCCATTTCCTAAGCTTGGAAGCATCTGGTCAATGGTCCTGGGTAGGTTCTTCTTGAGATCATTTTGTCAGTTGAAAGGTATGGTGAGTGTCAGCTGCTGGCACTTCTTAGGGAACATCTTCATCACATTCCCAAGTTGCTGGGTCTTCCCAGCAGGATTTTACTTGTGCCAAAGAAGCTAAGATGCCAAGGCCACAAAAGCCAAAGAAGGCAGGGAAGTAATTCAAATCTTCTCTTACCGTATGTCAACATTTGAGACTAATTCTCACTTACTCTAAAATTCTTCCTTATCAAAATATAAACTCTTCAAAAGTGAGAAACAGGGTAGGGAGAAATCAATGCAGAAGATTTCTTTCTTAATGTCTATGCAGGCATTGAAAATGTTCATTTCACAAATCCACAAAGGAACATTAAATTCACTCCTCCAATCCACAAATATTTAGGTCTTATGCCCATGAATTGAAATAGGCAAGGTACCAGACTCATCCAACTCATAGCTCTGAAGCAAACAATACCTAAAGCCACCCAACTAGTAAAAGCCAAAATTAAAATTTAGTTCTACTGATAACTTTCCCAGGTGGCGTATCAGTCACAACCTTTTCCAAATTAAAGTTATTATAAATATAACATAGCTAACCTGGTTGTGAACAAAGTACTAAAAACGTGGACATATTGCTCTTAACCCCAGACTGCAGGTGGAGAGCTATCACCAGACCTGAAAAGTAAAGGGATCCTCTAGGGAGACCACTTGGGTGTGAGGGTGCAAGAAAAAACTACTAAGTATTTCAATAGACTGACTCTAATGACTTCTTTTGCATTATGTTTGGAAGGCGGAAAGGTGCCTGTGGAATGAGCCAACTCGGGCTTCACGTCCTGGCACCCCGTGACTTCTGCAGTTTGACTATGTTCCGTGTAAAACGATTCTCTTAAGCCTCACAATCTTGCACACTGTTATTGCCTCATCGCTTCACTCTACAATAAGACGAACACACACGTGATGATTTTGCAGGATTTTTAAGCTGTCTACAATATGATCGCTCTCTCGCAGGTTCCAAAGTTTATTCATTTGAATGTGAGAAGCCCTAGAATCATTCTGCCAACAAAAGCAACTGTCTTTATTTTCATGACATAGAACTCCAGGAATAAATTGCTTCAATACTACTGAAACATGGCTGGCCAACTGCACAGGTAAATCATTCCATATTTTACATTGAACAATTCATTTTTATGTTTATTATAATTTCCCTAGTGTTTGCCCATATTTTATTTCATATTTTTCTTCACAAGAAATACAGATTGGCACAAGCCACAGCCAGTAAAAACAGTAAAAGTTGAAACAGGTGTAAACTATTACAGTAACCCCCCCCCCCCAAACTTCAGGGCATAACCATTTAATTATTAAATTAAAGAGAAAGGGAAAGCTCAATTTTAAATTCTTCCTTTGGCACAAAGAAACTTCTGCTTAAATAACCTATTCATTTTAAATGCTTTTCTAGTATAACAACTGATGCGCCATAGAACAAAACCTAAAAACACATGTACATATTTAAAATGAGGTATGGAAAAGCAGGCAATATCTTTAACATCACATTGACAATTACCTTCTG